AGATGAACTCCTTTCCTCAAGTCTCCATAAAACCCTCTCTAAACTTGAGAGAAAAATCCAGAAAAATACTATAGACTAATAATATTTTTTACTCTAAAAATTTCCTCCCTACAACTACAACTCTAACTAGTATTTATAGTTTTCACAGATTGTGCTGCAGAGGATCGCTCGACGACATTAGTTGAGATCGCCGATGAATTTGGCGATCCGCCCTTTAATCAGCTTATCACCTTTAGTGTCTGGCCTTCAGCATCCTCATATTCTGGATCATTGGGCAGTACAGTATTGCTTCGCGGAAATTATCAGCGACTCACGGACTGCTCCTTTCCTCGCCTTTCGATCCACTTCCTTTAAGGCTTCACGTACTGGAACAAAGGGTGGTGCATGTCAATTTGGCGACTCGCCAAGTTGGACTAGGTGATCCGCAAACTCTCATTTCTTGTTCTTTTCAGCCCTTTTTTCTCCGTTTTGTGCCTAAGTGTCCATGCTTCCAATAAAACTTCAAATACATGAAACTTAAGCATTTTAATCAGTATTGAGATAAAACAAGCATTCAAGGACACTATTTCTATTAAAATAAAGCCCTAAATGAGTCCAATTTGTGGACTCATCAATTATAAACCTCGAAACCCTAGCTTAAAGGTACGATCAAGAAAACACTTATTTTGATTCTTGAATTAGTTTATTGAAATCTCTTTGACCAAGAATTATTATTTTCATAATTGTATGAACGAATTTGAGTTGGAAAGAATGGAATTCTTCGAGAAAAACTTACCTTGAAGAAGAATCTTGAAAGAGATTGGAAGAATCTTGAAAAATATTGAAAGAGTCTTGAATGAAGTCTTCTACTTTGATTTTTCTTTAGGGTTTTGTCTTAGGGTTTGAGAGAGAAGAGAATGATGGATTAAAAGATGAAAATCTGATTGTTTTGAGCCTTCTATTAGTCAAGAAATTTGTTTAGGATTTTCTTGGAGGTAAAAAGACAAAAAACGACCCTTTTTAATGTTTTCCCATCGGTTAATTCATAACAGCACTGTATCACATTACTAAAATAGTCATAACTTTTTACTCAGAAATTGAATTAACGCGAAATTGGTGGCGTTTGAAAGTAGATTTTAATGCCTTTAATTTTATAGGTTATGGATCACATAACTCTTTATATTCAAAAATATATGGTCGTTTGAAGTTGACCCAAGTAGAATTTTACATCAAAACTTAATCGATATGGAAACTTTAAGAACACTTATCAAGAACTCATCAAGAAATTAAATTGCCTAATATTTATGGATATATTCGCAAAAGAAACTCATGATTGGCCTGTGGGTTAACAAATTCAACACTATGGAAGTTTGCATACCCCAAAGAACTAGGCTCTTGGCGAAATCTAGGATTTCTTGAACAAAAGGTTGAAACTTTGAACTTTTTCTCCTCTTGAATCTTCTCTCTGAAACCCTAAACTCTTTTGAAGATGAATGAAACTGATTCTAATCAGTTTAGACTCCTAAAACCTTACTAAAAATGTTTAACTCTGATTGGGTAAGGAAAAGACCAAAATATCCTTCACATTTTTGGGTAACTTTCCTTATTTGGACAACCCGATTTCAAACTGACATATCTCCCTTATACAAGCTCAAAAATTAGCAAACTCGGCGCCGTTGGAAAGAGGATTCCAAGACCATTCATTTGATATCTTATGGGTCTCCTTACTCATCCTGTGCTAAATGTTATGGTAATTTGAATTTGACCTAAAATTTAAAAGAACTAAGGAATGACTTAAATGAATTCTCTTTAATTCTTTTTGGAACTCAAGGTTCTATATCAAGTGACCTGACCTTAATACTTAGGAAATTTTAAATTTCTTGGTAAAATCCTACTCACAACGAGGATGGTTCGAGTCCTAGTTCATAAAATTTCTGGGGTGTTACAATATGTAAGACATTTTTATAAAAGTAGGAGTATATGTGAGCCACTTTTATAATGAGGGTATATCAGTTCTAAATGACAGAGTTGAGGGATTTATCAAACCGTTTTTCCATTAAATTATGTAATTTTTCATAACAAAGCTAATACACTCCAACTTACTTGATACATTTTTATTTTTATTTCTACATAAAATAAGAAGTATAAAGTTAATTATTTTGTTTTTAAAAAAAAGTTAAGCAAATTGATCCATTTTGAGTAACTTCGAAAAACAAAAATTAAGAACATCACCCAACAAAGAGTGACTTAAAAATAATTTTAACAAATAAATAAAAGTTAAAAAAAAAATCACTCAACTGGGAGAAACTTTAATTATTTTTTTTTAAAAAGAAGTTACTAAATTGCTCAATTTGGAGGGGCTTCGAAAAGAAAAATGATGAAGCAAAACACTCAAATATGAGCGACTTTTTAAAAACAATTATTGGTTTAGTTGATATTAAAAACAAATCGCTCAACTTTTAGCGTTGTCCATTTTGGTTAAATAGAAAAAGTAGTCATTTGTGTATTTTAGTTTTAAAAAAAAGGGCCCTTTTGACTCCGGACTCAAGAATCATGCAGGTGTACGAAACCGTACCTTCTTGCAATCTACATATTGTAGTCAATTGCAAGCGCGGACGCTCGTGCTACGATTAAGAAAAGACAGTAACAAGGCAGCTCTCCTTTGGCATGTCAACTATAATATATAGATGCATGCCAATAGAGAGTAGCCCTATCATTGTTTCCTTATTATGATTCACCAAATCTTCTTTCTTTGTGTTAGGATATTAAGAAGAGACAATAACAAGGCAGCTATCCTTTGGCGTGTCAGCTGAAATAAACAATTGCATAGAGCGTAGTCGTAAAACTATTTCGCTTATAAATTCAAGTATATATTTTCCTTCAACAACTCTCTTTTTTTTCCTCGTTTTTCTGCTTTTGTTTTGTCACAAAAGAGCCTTCCAAGCCTATATATTTAATTCTTTTTCAGTTTAAGATATGGTATAAACCCATGGAGAATCAGCATGTCTTGTCATTTTTATGATGTGTGGACTGTGGATTTATCTTCTTGTTTTTTATAGGGTCGGAAAATGAATAACTTTTGTATCTCAATAGCATTTCATTTCGTGAAGCTCCTTTATGAAAATATTTTCATCAAATTCCCCCTATTGACTTGGCCATGAATTTAAGATGTAGAAAAAAAGTTGTTGAAAGGAGGAGATATTGCTTGATTTTGTGACTATGAAGTGAGTCATTTAAGTACTCTTTCACAACATATCCTCTATCATATTCCTCTTACCTTATCCATCTACTTTTCTATTTCAGGTCTGTTTTTGCTTTCATATGACTTTTCGATTTTTAAAGTGTCAGTTTCACTTAATTAGGCGCTTTTTGTGTCTATGATGAAGTGTTCTTGACTCTTTTACAACATATCCTTGGTCACATTCTTCATCTTCCTCTTCTTTTTTCTGTATCGACATTTCTTTGCAAGGTCATATTTGCTTAAGTGGCTTTTTGATTTTCCGAGTGTCAGTCTCACATAATTTAGTCCAGGATGAAACACAATTTTTTTGTCTAGCACACAAATATGTATATTTACTCAAATTAATTACACAACTCCGTGTGTCATCAATTCCCAAATTTATTTCATTCAAATGAAAAATATATATTATAAGTTGTTGATCTCGTGCACACTTCTCTTATCTCCAAAATGAAACATATCACTACTAGAAATAAAGGTATTCCCATAGCGAATCAATGAAAAAATTGTGTTATACAAAACATGAATTTCCATGAATCATAATAAATATAAGATACCTTGCATAAAAGAACATAAAAGAGATGTACAAAAACATCCAAAAAGGGAGTAGACCATTACACTTACTTCATATCATGAAATTACGCCCTCTGTCCAACAATAGTTGTCCAATATTTACTTTGCACACTTCTTATGAAACTATAAATAGAAGGGTTAATTTTACTATATCACATATGAATATAATAAATATAATGTCTTAAAAAAATGTAATAAGAAAATGGCTATAATTAATGATAAATGTAAATGAGGAATTAAGTGTAAAATTATTTATTGATTTCATAAAATGGACAAGTATTGTTGGACATCCAAAATAATATAGTGGACAACTATTGTTGGACGGAAGGAGTATTTACTACCAGTAATACTTGACTAGACCATGTAGTGGCCAGTGCTAGTAGAGGTTATTTCTTACGAATCGTGATGCCACTGCCTTCGGTCATATCCAAATCTTCCAGTTTTAACCCTTCTTGTAACACATAATTGAACTTGTGCACAAGCCTTGCTAATGCTAGCTCATTTATCACAACAGCAAAAGCAGTTCCTGAGCAGCCCATTCTGCCTGCCCCAAATGGAATAAACTCAAAGTTTAATCCTTTGACATCAATTGTACTATTTAAGAACCTCTCTGATCGGTGCTCCTCTGGATTTTCCCATGGTAAAGCATCTCTTCCGATTGTCCAAGAATTGATAATGACTTGAGTTACAGTGGCTATATGGTAGCCAAGTAAATTTTCATCTTTTACTGATTCTCGAGGAACTAATAGTGGAATCGGTGGAGGAAGCAAGAGTGTCTCTTTGATCATTGCTTTCAGATAGATCATATTGTTGGATAATAAAGAAAGAAGAAACAACGTATAAGAAGAAAAAAGAAGAATTGCATAGAACTTTCATGTTATATTTCTGATATTTTTAAAGAAAATAAATAGGACACTTTAAATAGGAATTAAGACTCAACCACCAAAGAGAAACATGACCCACTAACTTAACCACAACCTTATCCACTAAGCTAAATATTAGCAACCAACATAAAATATTCTTTGACTCAACTAGGACTCCTAACAAACGTGTTAGTCTGCCAACTAAATAGGAACCTCTAATTACATTTGAAAATCAATATTCAACACTTCCCCTTGATGATAATAATGCAACCACATACTGCTTCTTTGAGCTCCAAGAAATTGCTCCAGATACTAAATTGAAAACATTTCCAAAAGTACTCTTTCTGTTATGTACTTCCTGCCCAATCACTATCATTGTATCCTGTCAAGCTGAAATGTGCATCTTTGGAGTACCAAATCCTGGAGTCAACTGTCCCAGCTAGATAACACAAAACTCTTTTGGCAGCAGCAAGATGTTGCTTGGTCGGACTATGCATATACCTAGACAACATACTAACAGAAAACATATATCAGGACGAGTATGTATAAGGTAGTTCAAACCTCCAATAAAGCTTCTGTAGTGACTAGGATCGGCAAGATCTGTGCCATCGTCAAGCTGAAATTTCACATTTGCATTTATGGGTGTGGCAGCTGCTTTACAAGTAAGCATATCGAACTTGAACAGGAGATCTTTTGAATACTTCATTTGAGAAACAAAAATTCCATCTTCTACTTGTTTCACTTGAAGACCAAGAAAGTATTGCAAAATACCTAAATCTGACATTTCAAACTCCTTCATATGTAAGATTTAAATTCAGCAACTAAAATTTCACATGACCCCATATAAATCATGTCATCCACATAGAGAGAAAGTACCAAAAAATCACTCGGACCTTGTTTCTTTACATACAAGGTAGGCTTATTTTCGCTCCTTTCAAATCCATTCCTCATGAAGTACGAGTCAATTTTGTTGTGACATGCCCATGGTGCTTGTTTTAGCCCCTAAAGAGCTTTCTTGAGCTTGTATAATTTGCTTTCATGGCCACTAACACCAAAATCCTCAGGTTGGGAAACATAAACTTCCTCTTCCAAATCCCCATATAAGAATGAAGATTTAACATTAAATCGATAAATGGGACAACTCAATTTAGCAACCTAAAATAAGAGTATTCACATCATTTCAAAGCGAGCGATAGGTGAAAACGTCTCATCGTAATCAATACCTTGATGTTGTGCATATACTTTAGCTACAAGCCTTGCTTTGTATAGTTGTATGCTCCCATATACATGTCGCTTGATTTTGAACACTTATTTGAGTCCAATGGGTTCCTTCCTTCCAGTATATTCACAAATTCCCATATCTGATTCTGCTCAATTGCTAGCATCTCTTCTATCATTGCATTTTCCATGCTTGAGTCTCTACAACTTTTAACATACAAAGCAAAAGAAATTTTTTCATAAATCTCCCTTAACGATCTGAATTTCACTGGTGGAGTCTCACTGGAAGAATCTCTTGAAGAAGAACTACTACCACTTCCTTAGGGGGTTAAGTTGTGATCACTTACTAGAGCAGAGGTTCTTGATTGATGAGTAGCAAGACTGCTACTTGTCGGAGAAGAGCTGGATGCGTTCCCTGGAACAGAAAATGCTGTAGGTTCTTGCTTAAAAGCTTCACCAGTAGGCGACAATATAATATTGGAACTAACATTCCCAGATAATATTCGAACTAACATTCCCATAATCAAAGTTCCAGCTAACATCTTCAATAAACATAACATTTCTACTGATCAATTTTTCCACTCAGTGGATTATATAGCTTATAAGCTTTGGATTGTGTGCTATATCCAACAAAGATACGTTTCTTTAATTTTTCATCAAGCTTATATCTAGCTTGGGAATTCACCAAAGAATAATCTATACATACAAAGAATGTAATTGGCTTACCTTGGGCTTGTTACCTCTCCATGCTTCATATGGTGTTTCATTAAGAACAACCTTGGTGGGTGAAATGTTCAACATGTAGACAGCAGTAGCTACAACTTCAGCCCAAAAATATTTTGGTACACCTCTAGCTTGCATCATGCTTCTACCCATTTCAACAACTGTCTGATTGTTTCGTTTGGCGATACTATTCTGCTCCGGAGTATATGGCGTTGTGAGATCTGTGTGAATACCATTTTCCTTGCAATAGGTGTTGAATTCATTTGATATGAATTCACCACCTCTATCTGCTTGAAGAGTCTTGATTCTACAACCACTTTGCCTCTCAACAAAAGACTTATATTTCTTGAAATTCTCAAATGTTTCAGATTTCAAATTCAAGAAATATACCTAACTCATTCGACTATAATCATCTGTAAAAAACAGAAAATATTGACTTCCACCTAAGGACTCAACACTTAATGGCCACATAGATCAGCATGCACCAATTTAGGACAAACAGAAGCTCTCGAAGACTTGCCTATAGGAAATGAATTTCTATTTTTCTTCCCATACACACATCCTTCACAAAATTCAAGAGCATCAATTCAAGGCGAACCAACAGCCATATTTCAACGACCTAATAATTGTAACCCCTTTACATTCAAATGATCATACCGCAAATGCCACATATTAGCTTCCGTATTGCCTTTGGTAATAATGCAAAACTTTTAACATCATAAACTTCAAGAGGAAACATTCTATTTTGAGTCATTTGAATGTCAACAATTTTCTGTCCTTAATTTTTATCTTCAATGTTACTGGAATCGTCATAAAACAAAATATAATATCCACAATTCATTGAAGTCCCAACACTCAACAAGTTATTGGCCAAACAAGGAACATACTACAATCATGGAGATGTTTGACATTACCATGACAAGTTTTTAGAGCGATTGTGCCTTTCCCGTCGACTGTCATTTCCAAGACAAACTTTTGACTTCTCTGATTCATCAAGTTCTTTGAACATTGACCTTCTGCCCGACATGTGGTTGGAGCAACCACTATCAATGATCCATACGCCATCTGAACCAACATCTATTGATAAGCGAGCCATAAATAGATTACCCCCCTCTTGTTGTTTCTCAGTGAAATTTGCATGTTGTTGTTCATCTTTCCGTTTTGTCCAACACTCAGCTTCCTTGTGCCCCATTTTTATGCAATAGCGGCACTGAATATTGCTCTTGAATTGTTGGTGCTCACCACCAAACAGGGCTCGTCCTCTGCCAGCACGACCTCATCTACAAAAATTACCTCTGCCTCCATTTCCTCTAGAATTTGAATATTCTAATTTGCCTTTAAAAGAAGACTCCCCCTTTATCTGAAATGTCTTCTCTTCACTCTTTTCTTGAGAATCATTCGGTCTATCCTCATGAGCATGCAATGAACTCATCAATTCATCAAAATCAAAATTAGATAAATCACTGGACTCCTCAATAGCATCTAAGACATGATCAATTCTTTTATTAAGACTTCTCAAAGCTTTAGAAACTATAGTTTACTCGGTGATTTTGTCACCGTATGCCTTCATATGATTAACAATTGCATTTGCCCGAGATAAGTAGCCTTGCACAAATTCACTACTTTTCATGGACGAATTTTTGAAATCAAGTTGGAGTGATTTGATCTTAACAGTCATTACCTTGGTTGAGCCATGGAATTCTTTTTTCAGAATATCCCATGCCTGCTTTGAGGTTTCTGCAACAGCAATTCTGAAAAATATTAAGTCATGCATCCCTTGCTAGATGTAAAATAGAGCCTTGGAGTCCTCCTTTTTGTTCTCCAGCAACCTTTGTGCTTCATCTTCCTCAGTATAGTCCTTCTCCACCAAATCACACAATTCTTGAGACTTGAACAAAGTCTTCATCTCTATGCTCAAAAATTCATATTTATCCCCCATTAAAGATGGGAATTAGTTGTTTAGATGTGGTAGATGCTCCATTGGTAGCCATTCTTTTCTCTCAATTGTCACTTTCTTTTTGCTACTAATTTGCTCTCAGTTTGACCTAACTGGCTCTTGATTCCAATTTTGTTGGATAATAAAGAAAGAAGAAACTATGCATAAGAAGAAAAAAGAAGACAAGTGATTGTATTGACCCATTCAAGCCATGGAATATAATCCCCAATGCTAAAAGTACCCAATAGTGACCTTAGAATTCATTCCACCTTTTCTTTCATTATATTTCCTCCCTAAGGCAACTCCGCTAACTATGTTATTTGTGAGAGAGCAGAAACAATCTCTTAAATCTATCATTGAACTTGAAGAATAACACTTCTTTTTTATTTTTTCAATCATATTCGATATCTTTTTTTCTCTCACATGACGATAAGATTGGAGTCTTTTGTTGATGATAAGGTAAAGCACGGTGGCACTTCTAATTTATCTCCAGTACTCCCCATAGGGACTAAATGACACATCCTTTGAGCCATAAAAGAATATATCAGTAATGCTAGATTTAGGTCTACTTGTGCATACGACATCATGAGTTTTCATGATAGCACGAGCATCTTCGACAGAAGAAGCAACAAACACTGGCTTACTGCCCAAATGAAGTAGCATGACTGGACCATTTTTTTTGGATAGCTTATGGAGAGAACGGTGAGGTAACAACCTACGTTGGTTCAGATTTCCTATGATTGGAAGCTTTCTCGGAGATGGTGGTAACTTTTTTTTATTATTTGTAGTAGTATGGAAGCATTGATGAATGAAGAAAATAAAGAGAAACAGAGAAATTAGAAGAGCATACCAGGGAAGATCCATTCTTTCTTTCTTTCTTTTTTGTCAACTAGGAAATCTAGAATTGACTACATAAATGGAAACAAGTAGTGTAAAAATAGTGCCTCATTTTTAATTTGTGTACAACGTTATTCAGAGTAGCTTCACCACACATAGTATAACTCAAACAACACTGCATTAGTTGAAGAGTGTGTTTGATATTCATATTTGGTTGAATTAAATATTTTGAAAAATGTTTTTCAAATCAACTTATTTTCCTCAAATTTAAGGAAAATGACTTACCTCCAAAAAGTAAGGAAAAACAGTAATCATGCTTTTTTATTTGATTTGACAATCAATGTAGACATCTAAGAAAAGTAGAAAAATACATTCAAAACATCACATTGCATTAAGAGTGCCCAAAGGGAATGTAGATTAAGTAGAAACAGTAACAGGGCCGCTCTCCTTTGGAGTGTCAGCTAAAATATACAATTGCATGCCAACAGAGAGTAGCCCTATCATTATTTCGCTTATAAATTCTATAATATATTTTCATTCACCAACTCTCATTTTCTTCTTCCATTGGTTCACCACAGCAGAGCCTTGAATTCTTTTATAGGCATTCCTTCTGTAACATCCCGCCTTAGAAAGAGCTAAAAATAGAAAGAACTACTTTGCCAAATCTGAAATTTTACAAGTTATGCTTAAGTTGTGAGTTTTAGATCAACTTAAAACGACCATAACTTTCAGTACAGGATGAGTTAGTTGGCCCATGAGATATCAAATTAACGGTCTTGGAATCCTCTTTCCAACGTCATCGAGTTTGCTAAATTTTGAGCTCGTATGAGGGAGATATACCCATTTGAAGTCAAGCTGTCTAGTTAAAAGAAGTTACTCGAAAATATGAGGGGTATTTTGGTCTTTTCCTTAGCTAATAAAATTAATTCATTTTTTAGTAATATTTTGGGGTCAAATCTGATATGCGTCAGTTTTCATAAATCCAAATACGCCTAGGGTTTTGAGAGGAGTTCAAGAAGAGGAGAAAAGGAGAAAATTTCAAGGTGTTCATCAAGATTCTTGAGTTTTTGTGGCGGATATCGCAA